CTGGAGTTTGCTAAGCATTTCTGAAGTGTCAGGTACCCGGGCCTCATCTTTTGATTTAAGGGGTTTGGGAACTAACAGCCCCACCATTTTTGGAGTGCCTGAGATGGCAAAGCAGAGCACTTGAATTTCAGAGATTGTTTGAATCGGCCACAGCCTCATGCCCCATATCTAGGTCAGCAACTTCTCTACCCTGAAGAGTGGATCTAGAAGTTTCACTGGAGGAATCATTTAAAAATAAGTGAGCAGTTTCTGCTATGTTCCACTGCCTAGACAAGACTGGAAGTCCAGGTAAGATGCAGGGTGCACAGAGAGCCAGGCAACTTCGTAGTAGGCCTGGAGGGGTGGTGAGCAAGGAGGACAAAGCCTGGTGACTTGGGGGACTCTTGGCCTCATCAGATTTTCTTGGGTTCTTTACCAGCAGCAGGAAGCTCAGCTGTGCATAGAAGAGGTGATGACTGGGGCATGTGTTCGCTGGTCTTTGAGGAAGCTGTTTAATGAAGAACTCTCAGCTCTCTGACAGGGTCATCTGAAGCCAGGCTTAATCTCTGCCTTGCCCATAAAACAGTATTTAAGCAGCAGAAAGTGGGTGAAGGGAAGCTATGGAGTGTGTTCTTTATATTGCAAAGCTGAGACCTCAGTGAATAGTCCGAACACCTTGATGCATCTTGAGACTAAAGGGGCAGCATAAAAGTTAACCAGAAATCTCTCTTTTGCCATGAAGAACCCAGACCCACAGCAGTCCTTAATGACTGCATCCCTGTGCTGATTGGATCTGATAGCTGGGATATGCTTGTGCTGGGTGTTTTGAAGTTGCATGCAGAGTGTACTCTGTCTTCCAAAATGGTCCTTAGGACCTTCTCATTAACCTCACTTTGAAGAATGTAATTATCTTTGTGTTTGAAATGTATCAAGAGGGACGCCTGGGTGGCTCAGTTGGTTAAACGACTGCCTTCGGCTCAGGTCATGATCCTGGAGTCCCGGGATCGAGCCCCACATCAGGCTCCCTGCTCAGCGGGAAGCCTGCTTCTCCCTCTGCTTGTGCTCTCTCTCTCTGACAAATAAGTAAATAAAATCTTTAAAAAAAAATTAAAAAAAAAAAAAAAGAAATGTATCAACGTTTCTTCTGCCTAGTGTTGTTTAAGCATCTGTTGAGTCTAAGAACAAAGCCTAGCTATGCTTGAGAGAAATTCACACTGTTTACAAGAGAAGGGTACATTTTATTTATTTATTTTTTTAAAGATTTTTATTTATTTATTTATTTATTTATTTATTTATTTATTTGAGACAGAGAATGAGAGAGAGAGCGCACATGAGAGGGGGGAGGGTCAGAGGCAGAAGCAGACTCCCCGCCGAGCAGGGAGCCCGACGCGGGACTCGATCCAGGGACTCCAGGATCATGACCTGAGCCGAAGGCAGTCGCTTAACCAACTGAGCCACCCAGGCGCCCGAAGGGTACATTTTAAAGAAACAACACAGAAAGCTCCAAATGTTAAATTTACCCAGGTTGCTATTCTCCTGCGATATTTTAATTGTGGGTTTCAGTGTCTAGCTAGTTAATCTGTTCAAAAGACATTTCCGTTTTATTCTCTGGGACTCCTCGGCCCTTCATTGAGAAACACCGTGGCTGAAAATCCACCCCTGGATTTGCCAGAGAACTGCTGTGATTCTGGAAGTGAGTGGTGGCGTCCTCTGACCTCTTGCTCACAACTGACTCCATTTGGCCAGGCTATCTTGCTGGTACAGACTGTGTCTCACTTAGAAAATGGGTTCTTTCTTATGAAGAAGGTCCCATGAATTAATAACTGCATCACCAGGAATGCTAAAAAAGCGGTCTAATGCCATGCATTGTTGTCAAGCTGTTCTTCCTGGTGGGTGGCTAGGTTAGTATTGTTTGAAAGGTTAGGATCCAGATATCAGCTCGTCTATTCTCCAGCTGTTGTTTATCCTCCCTTTTCCCAGAATAGTCAGGCACAGTCTTTTAAAAACAGGTTTGCGGCTGCTTTACATTTTGGTATGTAATAATTAAGTCACTACTGATTTAGCCTCTGTTCACTGGCAAGGAATGTAGGTATGGGACCAAAAAACATCGCATCCCTTGGAAGCAGTGGTGTGTAATATCGAATTTCTAATCGGCTCATCTCTACCCCTACCCACCTCATTCCACTGATTGAAGCCTGTTTACAACATCCACCAAAGGGTTGTTCAGGTTCTCAGCTCCCCAAGCAGTCTGCTTCATTTCTCTATCTTTTTAAATGTTACTTATTTTTTAATTAGGTAGTACATTTATATAGTATAAGATTCAAAAGATGAAAAAAGCCTGCAGTAAGAAGTCTCACCCCTGTCTTCCAGCCACTGGGACAGTCAGCACTACCAATTTCTTAGGTAACCTTTCAGGTTGACTTTATAGGTCACTGTATTCTCCCCACCCCCGCCCCCGCCCCCACTACCACCACCTTTGTTCTGTAGAAATGATAGCATCTATACTGTACATACTATTCTGTGCCTTATTGAGTCATCTCAGCAGAATATGTTAGAGAAAGTTCAATAATAAGTGGCAACTACACCAATGGGAGTGTTTCTAGAATTGACATCAGGACATAATCTAGTATGTCTCCTGGTGACCCCTAACCTGGCCACTCCCAAATGCTAAACATTGATACCCAGGCTCACTGCCAGACATCGCCAGTGGTGTCCCACGGATGGACAAGCCAGACCTTTTCTTTTTTTAAAGATTTTATTTATTTGTTAGAGAGAAAGCACAAGCAGTGGGAGTGGCAGGCAGAGGGAGAAGCAGGCTCCCCGCCGAGCAGGGAGCCCGATGCGGGACTCAATCCCAGGACCCTGGGATCATGACCTGAGCCGAAGGCAGACGCTTAACTGACTGAGCCACCCAGGCATCCCAAGCCAGACCTTTTCCACTGTTGCCAAGCTCCATCTATATCTTGGGTTGCACGAACCAGAAACCAAGAAATCATCCTTGACACCTTCTTGAGTTTCTCTCTAATCAGTGAACTTTCCTTCCTGCCCTCACCTACCTCCCTGGTCTGGGCCTTCTCAGTCTCTGTACTGGGTGACTTTACCAGTTTCCTGACTGTCTTTGGCATGTCCATTCTTTCTTCCTTCCAGGCTGTTGTCCACACACAGTGATCTTTTAAACCACATACCTAATCATGATGTTTCCATGCTTAACACCTCTGGACGCCTTCCTGCCACTCTTAAGACAAAGGCCAGACTGATGGTCAGTCACATCCACATGGCCTGATCCCTGCAGGCTTCACCAGGCCTGTTTTCACTCTCTGCAGTCCAGCATAGGAACCAGCTTCATCTTGCCCAGCTTCATCTGCCAGAGTATTCTCTTTCTTTTCCTCTGTCTGGAATGCTGTTCTCCTTTCACTATCTTTGACTCATCTTTCAGAACTCAGGCTCCAATTCTCAAGCCTTCACTGTTCCCCTCCCGAGACTAGATCAGGTTCCCAGTTAAAGCTGACAACACCCAACTTTTCCTTCATTGTACTTATTAAGGTTGTAATTTCCACGTAATGGAAATTTAACTGGGTTAATGTTTCTTTAAATTTTTTTTTTTTAAAGATTTTATTTATTTATTTGACAGAGGCACAGCAAGAGAGGGAAACAAGTAGGGGGAGTGGGAGAGGGAGAAGCAGGCCTCCTGCCGAGCAGGGAAGTGCCACCTGTGCCACCCAGGCGCCCCTCTTTAAATTCTTTTTATAGGTGTGAAATAGTTCCTGACACATACAAATTTTGGAAAGTAGGAAAGCTTCTAGAATAAAAAGTAATTTTTTTAAATTCATGTTTATAGGGGCGCCTGGGTGGCTCAGTTGGTTAAGCGACTGCCTTCGGCTCAGGTCATGACCCCGGAGTCCCGGGATCGAGTCCCGCATCGGGCTCCCGGCTCAGCGGGTAGTCTGCTTCTCCCTCTGACCCTCCCCCCTCTCATGCTCTCTCTCTCTCATTCTCTCTCTCAAATAAATAAATCTTTAAAAAAAAAATTCATGTTTATAGGGGCACCTGGGTGGCACAGTTGGTTGAGTGTCCGACCCTTGGTTTCAGCTCAGGTCCTGATCTCAGGGTCATGAGATCAAGCCCCATGTCAGGCTTGGCACAGAGTCTGCTTGAGTTTCTCTCTCCCTCTCCCTGTGCTCCTCCTGCTCATGTACTCTCTCTCTCTCTGTCTCTCTCAAATATATAAGTAAATAAATCTTTTTTGAAAATTATGTTTATATATGGGGTTAAGCTGTGGAGGTTGATATCTGTGTTTATGAGTAAGGGATGACTTAGGGGGTTGTCTCTCATAAGGACCCCTAGTAATCCTAATCTAGACCATTCTTGAGTTCAACAGATGTAATCTATGCCTGACCAACAATGGAACACTGGGCTTGGGGATTACAGAAATTAACGAGATCCAAACCCTTGGGTTTTAAAAACCCAAGATCAGGGGCGCCTGGGTAGCTCACTCGGTTAAGCGTCTGTCTTTGGCTTGGATCTCAGAGATCTCAGGGTCCTAGGATCGAGCCCCACATCGGCTCTCTGCTCAGTAGGGAGTTTGCTTCTCCCTCTCTCTCTCCCTCTGTGCTCATTCTCTCTTTCTCTCAAATGGATAAATAAAATCTTTAAAAAAGAAAAAAGAAAAACTCAAGATCACATAAGTCTGTCTTTTGTGTTTTGTGGGTTTTTTTCAGGTGGCTCCTTTTTAGAAGGCCTTTTACCAATTGGGTGATGGGGGCAACACTTTTTTTTCTGCTCTAAGGAGAAGAAAGTTTCCCCATGCTTGCTTCTCATGATTCTTTTCTCTTGAGAGATGTCTTTAGAAATACCCCTGCTAAAAGGGAGAGCCATCATCAGAAAAAACTCAAGCCACATGAAGCTTGTTTTGCATTTCCTGTTTTTGAACAGAAACTTTTTTTTTTTTTAAGATTTTATTTATTTATTTGTATGGTGTCTCCTCACCAGGAACTGTCTTTGTGTGTCTCCTCTATCCCCAGGAAACCTGTAGGAAGTGTCAGGGACTCTGGAAAGAGCACAATGGCCTCACTTGTGAAGAGCTGGCTGAGAAAGATGACATCAAGTACCGAACCTCCATGTGAGTAACCTCATTTCAGGGGCTTGCGACTGGTTCTTAGCTCCCCCGTTAGCCGGCCCTTTGGCCAGGGAGGGCAGTGAGTGTTGTGGGAAGGACAAGCGCTCGGGCCACCCCAGTCGAGAGTAACCTCAGGAAGTGACCCTAACCCCCTCTGTTGGCTGGTCTCTTCAGCCTCGTGGAGCTGGTCCTGGAGTGCGAATTCAGTACATATTAGTCCTCTTCTCCTCGTGATCTGAACGAATAAGCAGATCACACATTTTAACTAGATTAGATTGCACGAATATTGCTTATACCCATGCTTCCTATAGGATACCGGTGGCCTGAGACATTAAGCAGCATTATAGCCTCCAGAATGCAGAATAATGCAGTCAGTAATAATAAGCACCATTACTGTTTAGCATTCCCTGTGTGGCTGAGCACTTTACAAATATTAACTCATTAAATACGTTGGCTTAAATAATACAGAAGCCCATTTCTTTCTCCTGTAATAGCCCAGCCTTACCAGGCAGATCTTTCCCATGAGGTCATTCAGAGACCAGGTTCTTTTATCACATTGCTTCACCATTCCCTAAGGTGGTGTTCTCATCTACATTATGGTGACTGGGTTGTAGCCACATTTACACTCCAGCCCATAGAAAAGGAGAAAGAGAAAAGCTGCCAGCCAGGCAGCTTTTTAAGTTGTAAGGTGTGTGTGTGTTTGTGTCTGTGTCTGTCTTCTACCCTGTTGGTCTAGACTGAGTGTGGCCACAACCTAGCTTCAAGGCAGACACCATATGTAATCTCTAGCCGGGTGATTTTATGTCCAGCTTAAATTCAAAGGGTGAGGAGTACGTTTCATTACTAAGAGAATGAAATGGGAAATGACTATTAGGGGCAGTTAACAGTCTTCCAGTGTCCACCACAAGTAGGTAATATTATCCTCATTTTACAAAACGATACAACAGGCAGAGCCCAAGAAACTTGCACGTGATCCTGCAGGTAGTAAGTGGCATAGCAGGATTTTAAATCTAAGCAAATGGTTTCCTAACTGTTCTTTACCACAAATTTGGTAGGCAGACTAATGACCCCCAAAGATGTCCCTGCCCTAATCTCTGGAACCTGGGAGCCTGTTACCTTATTAAGGCCAAAGGGACTTGAAGTGATGTGATTGAGGTTATGGACCTTGAGGTGGGGAGATGATCCTGGTTTATCCAGGTGAGCCCAGTCTATAATCACATGACTCCTTAAAAGCAGAGAGCCTTTCTCTGGTCAGATAGAGGTGTAGTGATGGACAGACCCTGCTGCTGGCTTTGGAGTTGGAGGAAGAAGGCCTTGAGCCAAGGAATGTGGCCATTTCTAGAAACAGGGGGCAACCTTCAGTTGGCAGCCAGTAAGAAAACAGGGATCTCAGTCCCACAGCCCCAAAGAATTCTGCTGACAGCCCACAAGAGTAGCAAATAGATTCTCTCCCAGAGTAGGTGACATAGCTCAGTGACAGCTTGATTTTTGTCTGATCTGTAAAAGAATGCATTTGTATTACGTTAAGCTAATAAAATTGTGGTCTGTTACAGCAGCAGTAGAAAACTAACGCAAATATGGGGGCCAGAAGTGGGGTGCTCCTGTAACAAATACCTAGAAATGTGGAAGTACGTTTGGAATTGGGCAATGGGTAGAGGCTGAAGCAATTTTGAAAAGCATGGTAGAAAAAAGCCTAGATTGCTATGAACTAGTAGAAATAGGGATTTTAGAAACCTCCCCCTTGAGGACTCAGAAGCAGGTGAGGAGCATTATGGGCAAAGCCAAAATTACCTTGGAGAATACCTGAATCCCCACAAACGGACTGCTCATGGAGCTGTGGCTGTAAAGGTCTGCTGATGAGGACTCAGAAGTAAGCACAGAGCGTGTTCTCGTTTCAGTGGCAGGAAGCTTAGCTGGTTCATCTGCAGTCGTGCAGAAAGCAGAAGGTGTAGATGATGGGTCTGGACATGTAGCTGAGGAAACTTGTGGGCTGAGCGGTGGCGAGAGGAAAGTGAGCGGGAGGAGAGATTGAGGGGCAGGAACAGGATTTGGTTGTTTCTGAAACTCCCATCCTGCCCAGGTGACAGAAGACCCCAAAATTAAGACGTTAGCTGTCAGGAAAAGCATGCTCCTAGAGAGAAGATCAGGATGTGTTCCAGATGTCAAAGTCTTCAGTCACGTAAAGGCTCTCAGGAGGTCAAGGGGGAACCCTTCAGATCCCTTCAGTCAGACCAAGAGAGCCTCTAGGAAGCTCAGGCATCACCCCTCAGCCATCTCAGCAGAAACCCGAAGTAGAGATGGGCTTGTCTAGGAGCCAGCTGTGGATGAGAATGCTCATATCAGCAGAAACCCTGTCAGCTTGGACTGAAAGACGCAGTGTGTGGAAGGAACAAGTCCACCAGATGCCCAGAGTTCTAGAGGAAGCGGGCTGACTAAAATCTACTCTGCTGCAAACACACTACCTTTCTTGAGAAAAGAGAGGCTTACTCAGTAGTGCCATGACCACAGAGGGTTCTCAGATCTGAAATATAAGGGAGTTTGCCCAGCTGGATTTCTAAATTGATTGTAAGTGATGACTCCTTTTTTTCCTTCCATTTTCTCCCTTTTTGGAAAGGAAGTTGTCCCAGAATGGGTCATATCCAGAGTCTTCACCTGTACTTGATTTAGATGGTGAGATTTGGGACTCCGAGTAACACCATGGTATTTGAGACCTTTGGGGTCCTGGGTTGAGGTGACTGTAGGGGTGTAGGGTGGATATGAATCTGGAGGCCGGAGGGCAGACTGTGGTGGGCAGAGGTCCTAATCCCCAGAACCTGTGAATATCTTTACCTGACATGGCGAAGGGACCTTGTAGATGTGATTAAGTTTATGGCAACAGTCGGATGCCATACGTAGTAATCACACATGCCACTCCAACTAGAAAAGTCTAGCGTTGCTTCCTCAAATCTAGGCTTACCCCTATCAGCCAGCCTTTATAATTTAGAGTAGCTACCAGCTGCCCAGTGGCATGGCCTTAAAGTGATGGACATGTCCAAAATTACTCTTTCTTCAAAGTAGTCATCTCGTCAGGCAGTATACTTAGTCTAGCACTTGAGCTATTGCCAAGAACACTCTAAATTTCTCATCTGGAATTGTCTTTCAGCCAGTTTATGAACCATCTCCCAAAAAAATTTGCTCTTGTTACTGTAGACAAGTTACGTCTGGTTTGGATTGGGAGAAGCGGAGGTTTTCTGTTGTTGCCGCCTGAGCCTTTGTTCTGCCCCTAAGAATGATGTCTTACTGATAAAGTCAGTACAGATTGATTGAGTAATGACTATGGATAGCTGTAGTTAAGAACTTTGAACAAATTTTTTAGTCATTCTGTGCCTCAGTTTCTTCATCTGTTAAGTACAGAGCATATTTGTATCTATGTATTATGGAGATGAAATTACCAACATACTTAAAAGTGGTGAGAACAGGGGGCACCTGTTCGTTAAGCGTCTGCCTTCGGCTCAGGTCATGATCCCGGGGTCCTGGGATCGAGCCCCACATCGGGCTCCCTGCTTGGCGGGAAGCCTGCTTCTCCCTCTCCCACTCCCCCTGCTTGTGTTCTCTCTCTCGCTGTGTCTCTTTGTGTCAAATAAATAAATAAAATCTTAAAAAAAAAAAAGTGAGAACAAATACTCTTGGAGCTGTAGGACCTAGGTTGGTTATGTAGGGGAAGGCAGTGAACCTTCCTGTTTGAACACAAGGTCAGGAGACACAGCTGCAGCCCAGGCTTCTCTTCCTGTCTTGCCCAGAAACACATCCTGTAGGGCTGTTTGTTTCCTGCCTAGTTTAGAATCTAGTTCCCAAATCACTCTTCTCCCAAAAGAATCAACTGATTTCTCATCCCGTTTTGCACTTTCATGTTACTGGATAGGTGGTCACCACAGTCTATAAAAGCAGTCTTTTTTTGGTACAGAGTTATTCTGGCCCTACCTAGTATTAGTCTTATGAGCGCAGAAATGAGGACTTGAGTGGATATTCATGCAGCGTTGAACAGCTATATGAACTTTAGAGCAATGTTCAGTGGTGGGCACTCTTTGTGTATTCCTCCATTCATCTAGGAGTGCCTTTTCTCCCATCCCATATCCATTATTACTTTGGTGTCTGACAGCTTGGTGGAACAGAGCAAGCAAATAAATGCACCCTCTTCCCAAGCCTTCAGGAAAGGACTCCGTAACCCTGGATCTTTTTTTTTTTTTTTTTTTTAAGTAGGTGCAGGGCTCAAACTCATGACCATGAAATCAAGACCTGAGCCAAGAGTAAGAATTGGACACTTCACTGACTGAGCCACCCAAGCGCCCCAACCTTGATTCTTTTCATCCACTTCTCTCCCTCACTATAGCCATCGCAGCTACCCAGGGAAAAAGTCAGCCAGCCCCAGGCCCCCAGAGCATGACAGCTTAAAGCCACAGATCAGTCTTTTTTTTTTTTTTTTTTTTTAAAGATTTTATTTACTTATTTGACAGAGCGATAGAGACAGAGCACAAGTAGGCATAGTGGCAGGCAGAGGGAGAGAGAGAAGCAGGCTCTCTGCTGAGCAGGGAGCCGGACGTGGGGTTCAATCCCAGGACCCCAGGATCATGACCTGAGCCGAAGGCAGCCGCTTAACCAACTGAGCCACCCAGGCGCCCCCACACATCAGTCTTGAAGGTGCTCTTACACGGAAAGTTTGTGCTGTAGAAAATTGCAAGTTGTGTCTTGGCCACAGGTTTTCATCTTGGAAACTTTTGCATCAGAACCTTGTAAGTCTTAACAGGGAGCATTGAGAAGGGTCTTCACAGTTGCTGAGTAACTGAAATCATGAACATGTGTGCTATATTATTAAGTTGACAATAACAAATTCACTTTATTTAAACTTTGTCTCCTTGACGATGTTTCCTATTCAGCAAAACTTAGAACTCATTTATTCTTCTGTAACTTGAACTGGGTTTAAATTCTTTTCAAGTCAGAGCCTTCCTGCATTTTGGACCATTCAAAAATTAGACCTAAATGAATACCAGCCAATTTCCTAGTTCATTTTTCTATTTTTAAGTACATAATCTAGCTTCTAAGGAGCAAACTATGACAGTCTTCTAAATATCAGTAATTAAAAACACTTGCGTGACCCTAGACTCACCTGGCTTCCCTTACTTAGAAACCCTGGGAGCTGTGGGAGGAAGAAGGCTGTTTCTCAGTGTGAGGAGAGAGCCTGCAGGTCAGAACTCATCCCCAGGGGTGCCTGGGTGGCTCGGTCATTAAGCGTCTGCCTTCGGCTCAGGTCATGATCCAGGGGTCTTGGGATCGAGCCCCGCATCGGGCTCCCTGCTCCGCGGGAAGCCTGCTTCTCCCTCTCCCACTCCCCCTGCTTGCGTTCCCTCTCTCGCTGTGTCTCTCTCTCTCAAATAAATAAATAAAATCTAAAAAAAAAACAAAACCAAAACAACTCATCCCCAGACTGTTGAGTCTTTACAGGGAAGCACATCCCTGGCCACCACTCTGGGTTCCCACTTGGAAGGAAGAGAAATGCTCAGAGCACTGGGTTAAGTCCCAGTTTCAGGGCTTCTCCACCATTGGGGTCATTCCTGCTTTCCCTAGTCTCCATAGGCATGCTTTTTGACACCTTCGAGGAACTCAACTTAGTAGAGGAAGACGGACACACAAACAGTTATAGTCCAGGGTAGCGAGGGTAATTTTAGAGTTAGGAACAGGGCACTACAGAAGAAACTAATTCAGCAGTGCCAGCTCTTGGTAAAGAGCCAAGATGTGTCATTTTGGCTCTAGTCACCTGCCCCTCCATATCAGTTAAAGTGCTTCTGGAAACAGGTAGCTTTCCTGCAAACTTCCCATTAGCCAGGGCCAACTCCCCCCTCAAGGGCATGCCGATACCCTCAATAAAAGGGAGTGTGGGAATGTGGGATTTTGACATGGAGGTGAGCACTGCCAACAGGAAGAAGGTATAAACTGACTGTTGGATTGTCCCCAACTGTGTCTCCCCACCCCACACTAAGTATTTAAAATCCAAGGTAGGGGGGGCACATGGGTGGCTTAGTTAAGCTTCCAACTCTTGATTTCAGCTTGGGTCATGATCTCAAGGTCGTGAGATTGAACCCCGTGTCGGGCTCCACACTGGACGTGGAGCCTGCCTGGGATTCTCTCTCTCCCTCTCCCCACCCCTCCCTCTCCCCCCACCTCTTAAAAAAAAAAAAAAATGGATAAAATCCAAAGTGTGTTCATAACCAAGGTTTAGGCTTACTGGCTCTTCGTTAGCCAGCCTCGTATATATAAAACATGTTATTAAAGAACACCCTGAGTTTTTTCTCTCCATTTTAAGCCTACAGGGACTCCTATAACAAACAGAATAATCATTTTCTAAATGGTAGGTGTCACGCACTGTGCCGGGGTACTTTCTATCTTACCTGTAATAATCCTCAAAACATGGTGAAGAAATTGGGTTTTCCTAATTTAAAAATGAGGTAACTGAGTCTCCAAGCAGTTGAGTACCTTATTCAGGGTCCTACAACTAATGAACTAAATGAGTTCTCGACTCCAAAGCATAGGTTCTTTTCACTTTTCAGATGTCACCAAAAGGGCTGGGCAGTCACCTGTGGGAAGACGTACTTAGTGCCCAGAGTACTTTTCTCTCCTCGTCCTCTTCCCTGCTGTCTCCATTCATGTGTTCTGTTCTTAGTGAAGAAAAAATGACTGCAGCCCGCATTAGAAAATGCCACAAGTGTGGGACTGGCCTCATCAAATCCGAAGGCTGCAACCGCATGTCTTGCCGCTGTGGTGCCCAAATGTGCTACCTCTGTCGAGTATCTATCAGTGGATATGACCATTTCTGCCAGCATCCTCGCTCGCCGGGAGCCCCTTGCCAGGAGTGTTCAAGATGCTCTCTCTGGACCGACCCCACAGTAAGTGAATGCATGACTGCCTGTTGCTTTGTAGGGGAAAATACTGGTAAGGTAACTCAATGAAAGGGATTTTACATATACATAACACATTGTGACTTATGAAAATACAGGAAATTACATGGACCAGTAACCACAGGAAAAAAATGAGAAAGTAATCAGAAAGCTACTCCTCAGAAAAGCAGCATGCCCAAAAAGTTTATGGGCACATTATTTAGAATAAAACTTTTTTGCCATCTGAAATAAGTCCCAGAGCATAGACAAGGAAAGATAGTTTTACATATGTTTGTATAAAGCCAACATAATGCTCATACCAAAACATGACAGAGATAACCCCCAAAAAAGAAAAATACAGATCCTTCTAACTTAATATAGGTTTTAAATTCTCTAAATAAAATATCAGCAAATAGAAACTATGACCAAGTGATTGGAGCACCTGGGTGGCTCGGTTGAGTGTCTGACTCCTGATTTCAGCTCAGGTCATGATCTCAGGATCATGAGATTGAACCCCGAGTGGGGCTCCATGCTCAGCAGGGAGTCTACTTGGGATTCTCTCTTTCTCTCCCTCCGCGCCTCTCCCCCCTGCTCAATCTCTATCTCTCTCTAAAATAAATAAATAAAATCTAGGGGCTGGCACCTGGGTGGCTAGCTTCTAAGGAGCAAACTATGACATTAAGCGTCTGCCTTCAGCTCGGGTCATGATCCCAGCATCCTGGGATCGAGCCCCGCTTCTGGCTCCCTGCTCAGCGGGGAGACTTCTTCTCCTTCTCCAGCTCCCCCCGCTTGTGTTCTCTCTCTCGCTGTCTCTCTCGGTCAAGTAAATTTAAAAAGTCTTTTAATAAATAAATAATAAAGTAAAATCTAAAAAAAAGAAGAAAGAAAAGAAAAGCTATAACAGGGCACCTGGGTGGCTCGGTTGGGCGGCTGCCTTCGGCTCAGGTCATGATCCTGGAGTCCCGGGATCGAGTCCCACATCAGGCTCCCTGCTCAGCGGGGAGTCTGCTTCTCCCTCTGACCCTCCCCCCTCTCATGTGCTCTCTCTCATTCTCTCTCTCTCTCAAATAAATAAATAAAATCTTTAAAAAAAAAAAAAAAAGAAAGGCTATAACAAGTGAGATTGTTCCAGAAATGCAGGGATGGTTCAATATTAAGAGCTTTATCAGTATAACTCACCATATGATAACTTTAAATGGTAAAAGATGTAATAAAATCAAATATTCTTGATTTTTTTAAAACCCGTATTTCAGAACAGTCCTTATTAGCATGTTTTTAATAGTGAAAGACATAGAAGCATTACCAAAAAATCAAAGACTATCACCACTGTTTCGTTTTGGAACTGCTAGTCAGTTCAGTTAGCTAAGAGAATAGAACATAATTGCCAATGTTAATTAGGTATCCACTGTGTTTCAGACACTGTTCTAAGCACTTTTATATGTAATGAAGAAAGGGAAATCTACCATTTTCAGCCTGAGAAAAGACAGAGTAATCAACTGGAAAGCTATTAGAAGCAGTAGAAAGATGTCTAGATACAAAATAAATATAGAGAATGTCATTCACATTATATAGCAATATAAATAATATATTTTAGAAATTAACAAGAAATATAAAAAACAATGTTGAAGGACATCAAGAGATGTGAACATACAGAGAAATAATGCTTTGTTCTTAAGTTTTAATATAAACTGTATTAATTCTTCTTAAAATAATTTTTAAGTTTGAAACTCTCTGTAAGGAAAGCAGTGCAGTATGTGCCAGGATTTGTTCTACCAAAAAGAATGAGCATAAGTGAAAACCCTGCTAACTTGGAGCAAACAAAAGGCCTGAGAAAGGGCACGAAAGCCCCCTGGAGGCCTGGTGACAGCTTTCCCCAAGGACAAGGAAGATGACCTGATCATGAAGAAGCCTCTTGTCCCTCAGAGGGAAGACTTGGTATTGCAGATACATCACTTCAATCTAAAATCTAGACCTTTGCTGCAATTCCCGTTGAAATTCAATAGGGCTTTTTTTTCCCTTGAAAAATTGCCTCTAATTTTGAAAATGAGACTAATTTTTACTAAGCTACACTAATCAAAACCATGTAGGCTAATAACTAGATCAGAGGGACAAAATGGAGACCAGAAATGAGAATTTAATGTCTGATAAAAATATCATTTTTTTTTTCAAGTTTTTATTTAAGTAATCTCTACACCCAACGTGGGTCTGAAATTCATGACCCCAAGATCAAGAGTTCTGTGCTCTTCTGACTGAGCCAGCCAGGTTCCTCTAAAGATACTTAAAATCACTTGGAGAAATGATAGATTCATCCGTTCTTTTATTTTTAACTATTCAGTGTTGCCAGGACTAGTCTAAGCAGAAAAGCGCTGTCATCATGGAGTTTGCACTCTGAAACAGGTCCTTTGTCTGGTTAGTGTTAGGGAGGAGCAATGAGAGGAGGCTGGCACAGGGGAGGGAAGGAGGCTGCCTTCTGATGGAGTGACCTGGGCGGGCTCTTTGGGAGGCAGCATTTGCAGAGAGGCCTGCCTGAGGAGGAGGAGCAAGGCAGGCCAGGAAACCAAACAAATGCAGCCTGTTCAGGGACCAGAAAGAAGGCTGGTGTGACTTGTAGGTAGTGAGCTAGGGGAGGCAAGTGAGAAAGGGCGGGCCCAGCCAGGCTGTGAGTTGGTGGTAACGGTGGGAGCTATTGCAGGGCTTACCTAGAGGGGTGACTTAGCCGAATTTAAGATTTCAGTTATCACACTGGCTGCCGTGTGGAGAGAGAAACCTTCAGTAGTTCTTTTGGGACACTGGGCTAACCTTTTGGAAATATTTCAAGAAAGCGAAAGAAAATTACTTGTATCATTCCCTAGGAAGGGAAAACCCTTCTAAGTGTTACATCAAGGCCAGACTAAAAATACTTAAATCCTGTTTGGCAAAGGACAGCATAAACAAAGATAAAGGTAAATGAAAAACTGGGGAAATTGTTGTTAACACATACATGATACAGATAAACATTAATATGTAAAGAGTAGTATGATTCATTAAGAAATGAATAAACATCCCTATATTAATAAGAATCAATTTGGCTGTGAATTACAGAAAGCCCCAAAATAGCAGTGGATTAGACAAGATAGAATTTTATTTTTCCTCACATGGTAAGTACAGCATTGAACAGCCCAGCCTGTTCAGATGTGTGAGCATCTCGCATTAGTTTAGTATGGAGCTATAAAAAGTGATGCTAGGGGCACCTGGCTGGCTCAGTCAGTAAGAACATGTTACTTGATCTCTGGGTTGTGAGTTCAAGCCCCACATAGAGTTGGGGGTAGAGTTTACCTTAAAAATTTTTTAAGTGATGCTATATATCTGTATTTTAAAACATGGTGGAAAAAAACATGGAGGGGTGCCTGGGTGGCTCAGTCGGTTAAGCAGTCGACTCTTGATTTTGTCTCAGGTCATGATCTCAGGTTCCTGGGATCGAGCCCCGCGTCGGGCTCCCTGATCGGTAGGAAGCCTGCTTCTCCCTCTCCCCCTCCCTCTGCTTGCATTCCCTCTCTTGCTGTGTCTCTCTCTGTCAAATAAATAAAATCTTTAAAAAAAATAAAAAATAAAACATGTTCCGTGCCAGCACTAAGCCAAAGCATAGGTCGTTAGTCATCAGACTTTACCCCTGGTTTCGAACATCTCCAATATGCCTAACGAGAGGAGGTGTTGGGTAACAGGCCGTCCCCTGGGTGAGAACCACAGCAAACCTCTCCTGGCCTAACGGTAATCCTGGGAGCTCCCAGTTTTGAAAAGCAGTGGGTCCTCAATGGAAACCAGGTGTGTGTGTGTCAGGAACCACCTCCTCACCGGGCAGAAAATTGAGCTGAGGGACCCAGGAATTGCGCTTATTCGGCAGTTCTGCCACCCGCTGAGAGTCTCAGCAAGCCTTCCTCCCTGCCTCCCAGCGCACCCCCAATCACGGAAGGAAAGGGTAGACTTTTTTTTTTTTTTTAAAGATTTTATTTATTTGACAGAGATACAGCGAGAGAGGGAACACAAGCAGGGGGAGTGGGAGAGGGAGAAGCAGGCTTCCCGCTGAGCAGGGAGCCCGATGCGGGGCTCGATCCCAGGACCCTGGGACCATGACCTGAGCCGAAGGCAGACGCCCAACGACTGAGCCACCCAGGCGCCCCGGAAAGGGTAGACTTTGTAAACAGACATGTCATCCTCTGTTGTTGGTTTGGTTCAGTGGACGGAGGTACAGCCTGCAGCAGCAAGTGCTCACCAAGGTAATGCACGCTGCCTTTTTGGACAAACCTTCCCCAGACCTGGCAGTTCTGTTGACTCACTTCCTCAGTGCTGTGCGGCCAACATACCCAGGCCTGAGCATCTCTAGGATTTACATGAGGAAATAGGATTCTTTTTCTTCAGCTGCATCTCCTACAAGGTTCTCCCCTCCCCCTGCCCCGCTCCCCTTCCCACGTTGCCTTCCAGAAACAAAGAGCTGAGTGGAGTTACACACCAGCAGGTGTTCAGCTGCTGGCCTCTCCTCGGTCGGCGCTGTTTTCTTTTCTCTTCCAGCTCATTCTTGTTCCTTCTCCTGCCACCTCCCTTTTCCCTACTACACATGGAATGGGTTAAAAGTTTTTTGTGTTCTGTTACCTTGTTTGGGTGCCGTAGCATGCCACATGCCCCCTTGTTTTCTTGCTGAATTGTCGTCTTCCACCCTGAGAAGCGTTCTGTGTTTGCTCAAAATAAAGTTCAAAAGGAAGGTCAGGCAAATACAAATCCCTCCGATTTCCTCAGGCAGCCACAGCCAGAGATTTGGTTCCAGTTGTCCCATTCCCATCAAATCTGGGATCAGCCCTGTTTCCTTGATTCTCACCAGGAGACTGATTGGATTCCAGGCCAGCATCTGTTGGGGCTTCTGAGAACACAAAGCCATTCAGAAGTTCAGGGAAACAAAGCATGCCCTGTCATCCAAGCCTATTCTCCGGCTTAATTAACCAGCAAGGCCAGGAAGAATCTCTTCGCCCCTTCGTGGTTTGGAAAGAAGTTGAGTTTTATCCCTTAATGACTAGAGATTGCCTGGGAACCCAAACAAAGTCCGTATGAGAACTAAAATGATGAATGTAACTTGCCTTCTCTGTTAATTATCAAAATGAAGCCAAAAACATTCAACCACAAGTCTTAAAAAACAAGATACCTTTTTAAAAGGAAGGAAAAAAAAGAAGCAAACCACAGTTTTCTGATTGGGGAGCAAATGCAAAGCCACATGTTGACACATAAGTGAGCAGACGTTATTTTGCAGGGGGGTGTAGGTATCCTGGTGCTTGACCAGTGATCCAAATCCACTGCAGCCGAATGAGTGGCAGGGGCTAGTAAGGCATAGCTCATCGTTAGACGCTGTGGTCAAAAGAGCAGTCACCTGGCAGTCCAGATTCAAGAAGTGGGGCAGAATTCTTAACAGCATTTTTCTTCCTTAAATACAAAACAAAGTCAGTGTTTATCTTGGGTGTTGGTTACCAGAAACTGCACAGAATTATTTTCCACAACTTCTTTGATTTTTGAATATAAAAGATGGTTTGATTCAAATAAAACCCTAGGGCTTTTACAACCAGTTTACAATTTGATACCATTACCACTTAGCCATTTGGTCAGGAGACTTATTTTCCCAAGCCTACGTTGAATTGAACCTGATATTGACCTGTGCTAATATTTTTAATTCTGTAATAATTCTCTAAGGCAGATGTGTCATCCCACTTCTACAAAATCTGTGGTCCATAAGCGTAGCAGGGGCTCCAGCCGAGGCTGTTTCTCTTGGTGTCTTCAAGCCACCCGCCTGCCTTCTCCCATCTGTGGCTCCAGCACCACCCAGACTAGCCCAGTGCCCAGCATCTCCCTGCGGGGGCCAGTGTACAGATAATACCGCACAATTCTGAGACCCGTGTTTAAGTGGCCAGGGAAAGGAGGGACTGTTGCAGGAATGGAGGGGAGAAGAGCATTTCATAGTGGACCCAGGAGAGGCAGAAGGCCCATGGGAAAGGTAGACCAAAGGTGAAGTCATTAACTGGATCTTGGCTATAGCATTGTTTCCTTAACTTTTTTTTTTTTTTTTTTTTAAAGTAAGCTCTATGCTGGGGCACTTGGATGGCTCAGTCAGTTAAGTGTCTGCCTTCAGCTCCGGTCATGATGGCCAGGGTCCTGGGATCGAGCCCTGTTATCAGGCTCCCTGCTCAGCAGGAAGCCTGCTTCTCTCCCTCTGTCTTCTGCTTTGCCTACTTGTGCATGCACTCTCTCAAATAAATAAAATCTAAAAAAAAAAAAATGATAATAAGCTCTATGCCCCATGTGAGGCTTGGACTCACGACCCTGAGATCAGGAGTCACGTGCTCTACTGACTGAACCAGTCGGGCATCCCTCTCCTTAACTTTTTAAATGTATCTTTTACAAAAGAAACTAAGATGGTGACGTGAGCCCCCTTGTTTGTTGTTCCATCGACCCAGCTTCCTCAGCATCTTATTTCTGGTCACTTTTAAATATCTTCCTTTCTGTTACAACATGGGGGCAGGACCACTTTCCTGATCCACAGATGAGGAAAACGAGATTCAGGTCACTTGGTAAAAGTGGGATGCAAGCCCAGGTCTTGGAGCAGATGTCAGCTCTTTTTACTCCAGAAGCCTCCACACCCTGGAGGTCACAGATTTGGCAGCTCACCAAGTAGGTGCCCACTAGGGTCCCTGAGCCCAGTGAACCAGCTGGGGCTCCATAGAGGGGTAAGACCATTGCTGGACCCTTTCCCCATTGAGCAAGTTGCCGATGTTAGAAGGGGGGGCTGGATCTCCAAATCTTGACAGTGTCCTTGATCAGGTTTAGGTGTCACTGAGGACTTTACCAGGGAGGGTGGGAACATGTAGATATGTGTCGTCTTCGACAAATGCCAGCAGGCCCAGGCCGAGCACTTGACCCTGACAGGAGTCAAAACATGGCCATATTCCATACTGCCTCCAGGTCCTTGTGGGGGAGCTCTAGATGGAAAGGCGTTTGGGTGCTTGGTCTCTCTGACTTGAGGAGATGGCTCCAGAGGCCAGCCAAGAGCCCGGCTGTCTTTGCTCCTCCCCAGCACGTTGTCCAGCCCCCCACTGGGCCATTCCAGACCCCAGCTGCACAGCATGTGCCACTTGGGGCTGTACCTCACCCTCCTCCCCCCAATTTCCTGTTGCAGGGGGACAGCTGGAGCTGGGGGTTAGGGTCTGGTGTTGCTCGGCGATCTGCAGCCGATCTGGGAATAATTTGAAACTAAATCCTCGGCCCTTTGGAAGCCTTTTATGAAATCATTGCAAGTTTATTAACAACAGCTGTGGCCACACATGACCTGGATCCCAGCCCCAACCCCACCCCCAAAATCGCAGGAGGGAAGCAGCAGCTGACTTGGAATCCCCAGTCACCTTTTTAAGGGGAGGAAAGTTAAATGAAGAAAAGTCCCCCATCCTTCCTCCGTAGTCACTGGAGGCTGGACAGCAGGCAAGCAGGAGGCCAGCCATGGTGATCAGAAATGTTGACGAAAACGGGCTCAAAGGGACTTTTCAAAGCTTTGGCAAGAGCAGCCTGGGGCCAAGTGCTCACACATCTATTTTAGGGCCCTTCAGCCTGTGCTGGCAGTTAGTGTCTGATTGGCAGAAACCTCCTCTTTCTCGAACCATTGGCAGCCTCTCCATTTCCTCCTGTCCAGACCCTGCTGCTCAGGCGGAGCTGCGAAGCTTCCTTATTGACGGGCGGGTTCCAGAGTGGAGGTTTGGGTCGGTTTTTCTTAATTAAAACCTCTCTGGCGAACTCTACCTCACTTCCTGCCAGCGACTGCCTTGCTGAGTCTGTTTTGGAGAAGCCCGGCCCCTGCCATCGGCTTCATGCCCTCGCCGTGCTCCCTGCTGCCTCCATGTGAAGCAGGCGTGTCCAGGTCCTCCAAGTCAGGCCCACACTTTGTGTCCTGCTGAGCTCAAAGGAATTCAGAGAGAAGAAATAAAACCTTCTTCCTGTTAAGGTGCAACCCACTCATTTCTTCCTTTAAAGTGTTCTTCCAGGTCTGGGGGGCAGTGAGACTCCACATACCATTCTGCTGTATTCCTTTATCCTCGGCACTGCATTGGGGGAGTACTGGCCCGCTGTGGGTACTGTGCATGTTCCCTTCACAGTCCTCATTGCATCTGGTTGTGGTCTGTGGGCTCCACGCCCAGAGTGGCCATGGGTGGTGATGAAAATGGCTTAGGTGGTTCTCTTGCACCCTAGCCTGGTGTTTCATTTTACTCAGTCTTTTTTTTTTTTTTTTTTTTTAAGATTTTATTTATTTATTTGACAGCACAAGTAGGGAGGAGAGGGAGAAGCAGGCTCCCCGCCGAGCTCGGAGCCTGGCACGGGGCTCAGCCCCAGGACCCTGGGATCATGACCTGAGCTGAAGGCAGACGCTTAACCGACTGAGCCACCCAGGCGCCCCCATTATACTCAGTCTTTTGAGACCTGCCTGTCCTGGGACATCTTGACTGCTGACTGGTGTCTCCTCCCTCCTGTTTCAGCCTAGTCTTGCTTATATGCACATTCCATGGATCTGTGTGGAAATTTTCACCAAGATTGGGAGGGGCCGGAAAGCAGACAGAGAATAGAAGTCATCCAGGCCTACTGGATCCATCTTAAAGCCCATGCCAAAGGCCAGATGGAGGAGTGCGGGGGGGACGCGTCATCCTCAGTGGCCATTCACTAAGGCCTGTTGGGGTGCCCAGTGCAGTGGCTACCAACAGAACCATCTGTTCCTCCCCGGGGGGGAGGGTGTGAAGGGGAGCTTGGGTCGAGGGTCCAGTTTGGTCTCCAACCCTATAGAGGGCAGAGCAGCTAGAGGGGCCCTAACTGCCCAGGCACCCTAGCGGCTGCCAGCCCACAAGGAGCAGCAGGCTCTGCCCTGGTCCCAACTTCACTTCTCACGACTCTGATCTTCAGCATGTAACTGCATCTCAGAGCCTGTTTCCTCGCTGGTAGAATCTCTGTTGGCCCCTTATGATTGGGAGAGACACTTAGTGTGCACATGTGAACTAGAGCAGGACACAGGGAGGTGGGACTTGAGTGTGCAGAGCACAGCCTTCCAGAAGAGAACCTCGGGGGGTTTCTGAGTGAGGTGGGGATACAAACACAACCGATGGGAAGTGGGCCAAAACATTCCCAGGAGTTCTCTCTGGAGAGGAATTACCGGTGACTTTTTTATTTGGGCGGTGTTAAACTTTTTATTTCCCAAATTGCTTTAATGTTATGAGAATCAAAACATTGGTCTTTTGTGGCAGAAAGAGAAAATTCCATGGGACACTGTGATATGCAAGTAAGTTGGTAGCCTCACGAGAAAGCATGTTAGGCAGGGAAATCTAGAAGTGTGTGTTCCCACTCTGGAGATGGACTAAGAGCGGCGGCCCAGTCAGGCAAGGGGAGACCCCGCCACTGTGAGCCAGTAAGTCCTTTTGGGCCTCAGTGGTAGAGCCTGGCCCGCACCTTGGGTTTCTGGCTCAAGAGGCGAGGTTTGTGGGCTCTGGAGCTCCTGACTCTGTCTGGGGGAGAAGGAAAGAGGTGGTGAGAGGGATCTGCTGCTGCCTTTGTCTCAGAGGCCAGTGCCAGGGGAAGCCAGACACTGACGAATGGATCTTTTTTAAGGGATAGTATGTGCACTTCTGGATGAGCTGACCAAGAAAAGAATTCCCTAAAAATTTCCAGGGAAGTGACCCCCTTCTCTGCTGTGTTGGCTCTTTGTCTTCTTGAATGGAGGTGTTTTGATTTGCCCTATTCTCTTGTATTTAGTGGAAAAAGGAGATTCCGGAGTTCTGCCCATCCCAAAGAGAAGGAACCCTCTTGTATTTCAAGGAGGATAAGATGCACTCGTTCTAGAACAAGGCAGGGCCTCTGACAGTGCTCGGGGCAGGGCGGGCGGAGTTCCAGGGGCTTTGTAGTCCCTGCTGCAGAAGCTTCCAGTTCAGAAACCTATGGTTTCTGCGGTTAAGAGCTCCAGCCTTGAGAGTGGAAGGCCTGGGTTTAAACCTCACGGTGTCTCCGTTTCCCTATCTGTAATACGGGGATTCATTAATAGGGCCTAACTAGTGGAGTTGTTACGAAGATCCAGTCTCTGTGAAGTGCTTTTACAACAGGAGCTGGCACATAGTAAGCCCTCAGTAAACATTAACTTCCACTCTTGCTGTCACAAGTGCATGGCACTTTGTGAAAGAGAGATCATTTGCTTCTCACAGTAAACCTGCTGTGAATGGGCTCCAGGTCAGGTTGTGGAAGATAACAGGGTCCTCAAGCCCAGCTCTATGGAGCCCCAGAACTGGAGCTGTTCTCATCGCGCCAGCACCCTGTCCGTTAGGAAGTCAGTGCTGCTTGAAGATAAGACTTGCCGCGGCCGGTCGCTCCATCATGCCTGGATTTCCTGTGGGTGACTCAGCCCCTTCCGGGGGTGCTGGAGGTCAGGTACTTCGGCAACCTGGCCCCTGCACCTGGCTCTCTCATCTGCTTTCCTCCTATTGTTCCCCACTTCCAGCAGCCTAGGTGTGTCCTAGATTTGCAGAGTGCCAAGCCTTTTTCGCAGGTGTCCTGGTTTGCCATGAATGATGACACTTGGGGCACCAAGAATGTTTCCCAAGGGAACTCACCTCCAGAAAGGCCTCGGGAGCCCATCTGTCCCTCAGCCCAAACCCAGAGGGACCAGTCTTCATGTTTTATCTCAAAATCAGCCCTAAAGCTTGCCACATTCACTCTTTTTGTTAACATTTTTTTAAATTATGGTAAAATATGTATAAAATAAGATTTGCCATTTTTAAAGTGTATGATTCAGTCTGCCTTCACTCTTGACTTGAGGAGCTTTAAATGCTTAAGAGAAATTGCTTGGGAAGGAACCCCCGCCCCAGATGAAGTAAGAAATCTTCACCTTAGAGTCTAACGTGTTTGGCTAAAAATGTAATTTAAAAATATATTGAAAAGCATTTTCATTGTTAGTTTCTAAACAGTGTCCTGTGACTCCAACCAGTCGGAGGAAGTTGAAATCTGAACCATCTGATCCTTAATCTAGCTGCAACTGACAATTTACTCAGTGGCCCTAATTAATACAGTCAGGAAGCCCGGCACCTGCCCTATGAAGAAGCCACAGAGGCAAGTGTTGGGGTCATCTCCCAATCTCTGCCACTTTTTCTTGAAGCTTCTCATCTTTCTAAAATCTTTATTTCTGCTGTTTTCCATGACCTTCCTGCCTTTAAATAGTGAGCGCTCTTTGCCAAGTCCTTTACATACTTGAGCTCATTCCAGCCTTACAACAGCCCATTTTACAGATGAGGTATCTTGCGAGACTCAGACATTCAAGTCGCTTAGTGGAAGGTACCACAGAGCCCTTCTCTCCCACCTGACAGTTTTCTGGATCGCTGCTTTTTTTTTTTTTTTTTAAGATTAAAAATCTTTTTTTCCTGGACCTTCCACTGGCACGAAAATGAAGAGGTTTGTCAGGTCCTCCTCTAGATAATTGGTAGAACGCATCTTTACATTCACATGGAGACCTTCACACTGTGCCCACCAAACTGTACTGAGTTATCCGAGCCCTTTGCATCGGTTGGCTTAGTGGTTCCTTCATAGAGAAATCCATTCCCTCCTTTGGAATTTTCACAGAGAGGCTAGATGACTGGGTCTTGGGGTTTTTAATGGAGAATTTGCATGTGTTAACCTGGGAGACAGACATGGTGCCCTCGAGGGTTCTTCTTGGCACTTGGCAGCTCTCTCCTCTTCCTCCTGCTTTGCTCAGAACACCTGGCAGGGTGAGGCTGAGAAAGATTTGTGTGTTAAGGATTTCCAAATGTGTTGCAGCACCTGGGTGGCCGAGTCATTGGGCATCTGCCTTCGGCTCAGGTCATGATCCCAGGGTCCTGGGATCGAGCCCTGCATCAGGCTCCCTGCTCCACGAGAAGCCTGCTTCTCCCCACTCCCCCTGTTTGTGTTCCCTCTCTCGCTGTGTCTCTGTCAAATAAATAAAATCTTAAAAGAAAAAAAATTTTTTTCCAAATGTCAGGAAGGTTGCGGAAAGAATTGAGAGACCATCGAGTTAGTTTAGTTCCGTCATTTGGCGACTGAGGGTGGGAGAACGTGAGCGAATTTAACAGGGCCTCCTGCTATTGCCCACAGAGCCCACAGCCTCCAGCAGCTCTGTCCTAAGATTTTTTTATCTATCAAACAAAGGGAATATGTTACACAAATATTTACATTCCATCAGTATGACTTAGTCTCCTTGTTGATCAGAAGTTTAACCAGTAAACTTAGAACAGTGTCTAGCACTAGCAGGTGTCCGATACGAGCTGATGAAAAGCTATTCCCGACTCGAGTCCTCGAGGTTCGTCATAACTGTATGGTGAAATCCCTGACTGCTGTCTTGGCAGTGACATTAATAATGTGCTAAGTAAACATGCACACTGTCTCCGCTCAGGTGGGACTGCCACGCTCTCCACTATCCAGGGAGGGTGCTCTCTCCAGCTCACATGCTCTTTTCTGTGGTTCTCCATTCACATTTCACAAGTTCCCTGGTGCCATCAGTTGGTCAAAGGCGTCACTGAAACCGTTCCAGCCCAGGACACACCTGGCCACATGGGGAGGCTCCAGTGCCTTGTCTAGGAAACCCCTCCTCGAGTACTGGGACTGCCGCTGTGCACCAGTGCCCTCCTCACACTTCTCCCCAGCTTGACTGCTCTTAACTCCTGGAGAAGCAGCTGGAAGACTCCAGGAAACAAGCCTGCCTGTCGTTCAGTTCAACTCCGCACAGTTGGTGATGTTCCACTCCGTTCATCTCGCTCTTAAACTGCTGTGCCCTTCCTCCCACATGAGGGCCCCCACCCCGACCACCATTCAACTGGCAAGACGCAGCTCCTTCTACAGCCCACCAGCTGTCTAGAAGCTAAAGGCCAGCTTCAGGGCTCAGCTGGCCTGAGTAGACCTTTGTCCACCTGAGGTCAGAGAATCAGTAAGACTCTGTTGGGCTTTGCACAAAAGGGTGTCTGCTCAAGAGTTCATGGACTCTGGATCTGAAACTTCTCTGGCCATCGCTTCTCGGCCTTTTGGCTAAGATCAAGTGTGAGACTTTTCGGGCCCTGCCCACCCCAGACCCACCCCCTTTCCAAACCTTTGGGTTATCAGTCTGCCCACCTGAGCTGCAGAAGGTCCTCTCTCTGCTTGCTTTACAGCTGAGGGAACAAAGCGGGCTCCTGCCCCACAATCCCACTCCTCAGCCACAGCCTTTCAGGTGGGCTTCCTTGGGAGCCTCATCCACCGATGAAGCAAGGAGACCCTCAGGGTCTGGGAATGAGTAGTCTGCTGACTGGCAGCAAGCTGTCCTCCCCTGGGTCCCAGTGCGGGGGCTGTACGCACGGCATGGAGCTGGTTGGAGCAAGCTCACCATCTTGTTGCTCTTCTTCTAGGAAGATGATGAGAAGCTAATTGAGGAGATCCAGAAGGAGGCTGAAGAGGAGCAGAAGAGAAAGACTGGAGGCAAGCACCCCCCCAGCACGGGCCCCATGCTTGGGGCGATCCCTGTTGGGGGGGTGGGGGGGGCCCGGAGCACTCCATGCGGGGGGTGGGCTTCATGGCTGGCCGTCCAGCCCACCGGGGCCGCCCAGGCATCCATCCAGCTCCCAGTGGCAAGAGGCTGTGAAAGCATAGGGGAGTTTCAGTATCCCCTTGATAGTCAGGGGGTCCCAAGGGGTGGGTTTGAGCTTAGGAGGCAGACAGAACCCACACTGGACTAAAAAGACAGTAGGCCCACCCTGGCCTCTCTGAGGTCACAAAGGAATGAAATGGAGTTTCTGAGAGTGGCCCCCAGGCCCTGGCTCTGAAGGAAAGTCTCCCATGGAATCCACCACTCTCCAGGGTGATCACTGAGTTAACACTTAGACAGCTGAGGGGGGTTGGTGCACATGCACACATTCATTGGCCTCTTTGTGGCCTGGCCACCCCTCCTGTGTCCGTAAGTAAGAATGATGCTGAAGGTCAGACATGCCTGGCCTGGTCTCATGCTCTAGGCTCTCAGCTTGGGGCAAGTGGGACTGAGGTCAGGATATGCAGCCTTGGTCCCAACCCACATCAAGCACAGTTGGTTTTGTTTTCTCTACTAAATCCCATGTCCTGTTCAGAGAACACCTTCAAACGCATCGGGCCCCCCTTGGAGAAGCCTCCAGAGAAAGTCCAGAGGATCGAAGCCCTGCCGAGGCCCGTCCCGCAGAACCTGCACCAGCCACAGATCCCCCCCTATGCCTTTGTGCACCCCCCCTTCCCCCTGCCGCCTGTCCGGCCCATGTTCAACAATTTCCCTCTCAACATGGGCCCCGTCCCAGCGCCCTACGTGCCCCCTCTGCCCAATGTGCGCGTCAACTACGACTTCGCTCCCGTCCACGTGCCGCTGGAGCACAACCTGCCTATGCACTTTGGTCCGCAGCCACGGCATCGCTTCTGACAGCTCTGTGTCCTGCCTCCTCCCCAGAGCCCGCCGCTGAGCAGCCCAGCCTGTGCAGGGCCGGGGTTCCATAGATTCCCGCCTCGCCCCCAAGGCCATGCCTTCTGAATGGGGATCGTGCACTTGGCTCTCGATAGGTTGGCGTTTTTCCTGCTCCTTCCTGGGAAGGGCTACTGTCCCTTGAGCGGCCGGCAGGCCAGTGCCCTCAGGTGCCTGTAAAAGGATTGGTCTGACACTTGCTGGACCAGTGATAAGGGCCAGTAGGGCCTCCCTGGAGAGTTCCACTGTCCGAGCAGCAGTGCAGGGACCCTCACCACAAGGTATCCCCTCTCTGTCAGCCCTGTCCCTGCAGACAGTGACGAGGGAAGTGTTTGTGTCCGTCCCCTCCCCTCCCCCTGGCAGACCTCACAAGTCTCTCAGTTAACCACGTAGGCCTTCCTTACCGCAGTATAGTCTGATTGGTGATAAAGCCGAAGTCCCAGTTCGGAGAGAGCTAAGCCATCTGAACCATGTTGTGAAGGCTGAGTTCTCCCCCCACCCCCACCCCAGTGCTGCGGCCCACCCAGAGTGAGTGCACCCTGCTGCTCCAGGTTAGTTGGTCCCAGTGAGGCGGTGGCAGAACCACGTCCCCAGGCCTGGGGGCACCGCTCAGGGTGGGGAGGCTGCAGACTGTATTCTCCAAATCCAGAACCCCAGGCCACCACCACCGTGACTGTTCAGGTCTCTTCTTGTCCTTGGCCCACTCAGATGAGACCACAGAGAGCCATCTCATGCTGTCAGTTCTGTTTTGTAGTTTAAAGAAATATTTGCCATTTACTCACTTTGAACTTGCTGGGTTTTCTGTGGCCTACTAGAGTTTCTCTCGTTCAGTCTCTTTCTTAGAAAGTCAAATCCGTTACCCCACACCAGGCAGCCAATGAGTGCTAGATGGTCCTGAATCTTGCCAAACAAAAGGTCCTTTCGAGGTGGCTGTGACAGGCTTGGTGGCTCTCCCAGGTAGCCCAGTTGTCAGGTAATGAGCAGCTTCTCCCCTAAGGTTTGGTGGTGGCAGTGGGTTTCCACGGGGGGATAAGAGGACCCAGACTACACCCGGCACCCACCCGTGGAGCTGCCCCTGCCCACGGCCAGGTGAGTCTAGCTCCGGGTCGGCATGGGGGTTCCTGCCCCTTCCCACTCACCTTTCCCTGTGCAGCCCCAGCCCACCCGAGGCTCTGCCCCATCGCTAGCCACTCTGCAGAACAGAGGCCTCCATGGGGAGTGACCCTGCCTGGCTGCCCAGTATTGGTCTCTGTCACTGCTGCTGTATCTCTGGTGTCTGTGGAGTTCCCAGAAGTTCCCAGCACCTGTGCACAGACCTCAGAAGGGTGAGCCTAATGACCAACCCCCCATCTCTGGGGACCATGCCCCAGGACCATGCGTTCTTGTGTGCAGGCACCCACTGCCATCAGTTTCTCATGTATTTCAAGGATTAAAATGGGGAGAAATCTGCTAAGTTGCCCATTCTTCCTCCTGCTTTTCCTCCAGGGGAGGGCTTTGCAGAGTCCTCTGGGGGTGCACTGCAGGGCACAGTGACAGGTCTAAGTACCTTTACAGCATGGTCCCCATGCATCCCCAAGGTGAGGAGGGTCTCAGAGCGGTTGAGCTTCCAGCGGATGTCCCACCAAATGGGACACACCAGAACCTCCTGGGCCCCCTGAGCCAGTTCATCCAAGGAGGGAACAAACCAGTTCACCTCTGTTCTGTAGCCAGGGTACAAGGTTCCGTGGGGCGCTTTGGGCAGCCGAAAGGGCAGGCCCCAGGTGGGTGGCATGTGAAGATCCCCTGACACAGGAAAGGAAGAGACCAGAATAATTGGTTTCCCCCAAAGCCAAACTGAGGACTTGCCCTTTGAGATGAATTCTGGCTGTTCTAGCCACACGCAGCTGCTAGGGATCTGAGGACCCCCGGTTTCTGACGATCCTCCCTGCACTGGACTGTGGAGCAGCTCCCAGGCCCACAGCAGCATAGTTGCTGTTTGGGGGAAGGTCGTTGCCACGAGTTCTGACACTAGCATGAGGTCCCACCTGTCTGTGAAGCGACCCTCTAGGTGCCTGTGTCCCAGAGGACCCCAGGCTTCTTGAGAAGCAGACTGCACTAGTGAGAGTTCAGGGGAGAAGGGGCCTTAATCCTCTGACAAACAAGCCAGCAAGTGGCTGCAAGGTATAAGGACAGGAGACCCACAGAGACCAGCCAGTGGCAGGGACAAGGCAGGAATCCCAGAGGCAGCCTGGCATCTTACCCTCTCTGGGCCACAGTGTTTGCTCCCCCAAGCCAGAGACTGCCCAGCAACAGTCCCGTTCTACTTGCCTTAAACTGGAGAGAGGAATCTAGTATTTGCACTTAGCAAAAGATTTTAAAACTTAAAAAAAAAAAAGTGTGCATGACCTGTCACTTTGTATAAAAATAGCAAAAATGATTAGTTTATTAAATTTTTTTCTGTACCTTCTGGTAGTAAAATACTTCAAAATAATTCTGTTTAAACTACTGTGTGTAAAAAGTCTGTATCATATGTAACTTGGACTTTTTGTAAATAAATGTTTGTGCACTATGCTCCTTCCGGTTTTGTCTGTCCACACGGCACTACCGGGCAGGCCCCTCCACCCCCATGAAGTTACAGGGGCTGCGCACACAGGCGATAGATTCCCAGGGAGTGATTGGGCCTACGATGCCACTGCTCCCTGGGAGTGGACGTCAGCTGCCGCTGGAGAGCTGCGAGGAGAAGTGAGACCCCCATCTCCCTTCCCCAGAAGGAAGATCAGGTGATGTCTCATGCTGACCCTGCTTGGGTGGCTACCGAGGCCCACTTGGGCACAAGGGGGTTTTTTGTTGTTTTTGGCACAGAATCCCCTTCCAGAAAGTGCTCAACCCCTCTTCCAGGCCTGGGCAGCAAGCCACCAACTTGCCTGGAGAGCGACCTGCAGAGGCTGGACCAGGCGAAGGTTGGGTGAAATGGGAGGAAGCTCGTGTCCTCCTTTAAGACCAGGAGATCAAGTTCCTGAGAACAGAGTGTCTGACTGGGGCCACCTTCCTCGGGCACAGCCCTCCCCATCAGAATCCCCAGCAGCCCTGCTGTGAGCCAGGCTGGCAGACCCCAGCACCCTTGGGCTCAAACTGCTCAACGTTCTGATAAAACGTGGGCTATCCTGTCCTGCTATTTGCAGCTTTATTGAGTGATGCGTCCCCCCCCCCCTTTTTTTTGTGTGTGCATTTCTGAAAATGTACTGAAATAAATCCAAGACAGAAGTTACCTGCATGGGCGCCTGGGTGGCTCAGATGGTTAAGCGTCTGCCTTCGGCTCAGGTCATGATCTCAGGGTCCTGGGATCGAGCCCCGCATCGGGCTTCCTGCTCCTTGGGAGCCTGCTTCTCCCTCTGCCTCTCTCTCTCTCTCTCTGTCTCTCATGAATAAATAAATAAAGTCTTTAAAAAAAAAAAAAAGTTACCTGCATTCCCAGGGTCGTGAGTTCAAGCCCCATGTTTGGCGTGGAGCCTACTTAAAAAGGTGATTCTGCACCTTTCAAAATGGGACTTTTCTCTCTTTGCAACCAGGAATGCCCCCCTGGGTCTGATTGGTTCTTTTTGTGCCATCCTGATGGACGATAGGGGTGCTTCGCACTTCCTGCCACCCTTCCACACCTTGGTGAGCACCTGCTTGGATGTTTCAAAAGATGTATTTTCCGGGAGCGGAGTTGTGCATAAAGGATGGGGGTGAGGGGCACCTGGGTGGTTCAGCCGTTAAGCATCTGCCTTCAACTCAGGTCGTGATCCCAGGGTCCTGGGATCGAGCCCCACATCGGGCTCCCTGCTCCACGGGAAGCCTGCTTCCTCTCCCTCACCCCCTGCTTGTGTTCCTGCTCTCACTATCTCTGTCACATAAAATCTTAAAAAAAAAAAAAAAAGGATGGGGGTGTGTATTTCTATGTCTTTTGCCAGATTCCTTGACAAAGCAGTGTCAACCCACCCGTCCTGGCCTGTGTTCTTACCCTTCGTTGGCACATCGTTGCCACGGTCCCTCGGCTGTCCTAAGACCCGCCTCCTGGAATCTGACCTCATGGGGACACTTGAATGGACACATCTTCCTTTAGAAGGAACTGCTGTTTAGGTCAGGTGCTTTTGTAATTGCACTGTCCAAACTTATTTTCCATCCTTGAAGTGACATATACGTATACACATTGGCCACTTAACATAGGTTTTAAAAAAAATTTGAAAACACAGAAAAGGATCAAGACAAAAGTGCTTTGTTATCTGAAGGTAGCTACTGATATTTTTTAAGATCTATTTATTGGAGAGCACGCAAGGGGGGGAAGGGGCAGAGAAAGAGAATCTCAAGCTGACTCCGCGTTGATTGCAGGACCTGATGCGGGGCTCAATCTCACGACTCTGAGATCATGACCTGAGGGGAAATCAAGAGTCGCATGCTTACCCCAATGAGCCACTCAGCCGCCCCTACTGATAATATTTTTTTTGATGCATTTCCTTCCAGGTCGTTCTGCTCTGTGATATATATAATGTCTCACAAAACCAGTAAACCAGATGTGCAGGTTTGCATCCTATCATGAGCATTAGCAAGGTATGAGCAAGTGCTTCCAAAATACCGTTTTTAATTAGCCTTCTTTTAGAACCTCTTGCTGCAGGCTTGTAAACCTTCTCTTTGGGCTTCTTGGAATCACGTTTCTGCAGGCTGGTGCACAGCTGCCCCTGTCCAGCCTGCTGTTCTTTGTTCTCATGACCCCCGGGGGACATGGCCCCACCTAAAACCCCATCTGTGGGTCTTCCCTCTCAGGATTAAGTCGGAAGCAACTCCTCTCCTTGCTTCCTCCCCCTTCATCAGCACGTCTTGGCAGGCAGTCCAGAACTGATCATCGCTTAGGCTTGGCTTTGCCCTAGATGATGCCAGTTAAGACCCTCACGAGAGGGGCGTGGAGCCAGCACAGGCTGTCACCAGGGCCACCGGGATCACCGGAACCTGCCTCTTCCCTAAGTGGGGGTGGCGCACTGGGCCCGAGGCCATTCTGTGGGTTCTGCAGGTGCAGCGCTGCAGGGCCCCGGGAAGGTCACTGCAGCCAGCTGCTTGAAGCAAAGTGGGGACAATTACAGCACCGAGAAAGCCGGAAAAGAGCTTGTTGTCGGGTCCCCTTCCCGCTGCCCTTTGGCATCCACTCCCAGAGGCGGGTCCGGCTTCAGACCCAGGCACATCCCCGGATGGCTGCCCCTCACCACTCCGCAGGTCCAGTCCCCCGTCCACCTGCCCTCGTCCGTGGTGCGTCTGGGGCTGTGCCACTGCCCGCTTGCCCCGAACCAAGCACCGGGCGAGTGGCGTTCACAGCCTGGGAGAGGGGGGCAGTGCACCTGGGCCCAGCACATCACAGCAGGGAGACCAGGGCCGCAGCCTTCTCAAGGGGCTCTCAGTCTCTCCTTTCTCTGCCCCAAGTCTGGTTCTCCCTCTCTCTCCTCTTTTGTCAAGATTGAGGCCACTTACCAAAAAATACCCATGATCGAGAACAAGCAGAAAACCGAACTGGAACAGAAGCAAAGCTACAGTATTAAACACAGCGCAGGAAGTGGGGCTCTGAAGTCAGGCGGCCTGGCCCCCTTCCCGGCAGCTCACGTGGAAAAGCACATGAGTTACAAGGGTCACCATGTCCATAGGGTGAACACGTGCTCATAGCTCCAAGGAAGGATGCTCCGCAGGCGGCACACATCTCCGTGACCTGCTGGAGGCCCTGATGGGCTTCGGGGGCCACCCACTGGGGCTCTAGGGAGGCCTGGGCCTGGGGCTCAGAGTGGACGGCCCGCATGGCTCCCCCACGTGGCCACCCTCACGTGCTCAGCCTCGGACCTCTGGCGACTCTTGACGCCTCCCCCACAGACATCTCCTTTCTCTCGCCTCTGATGGGGAACAAAGCCAAAAAGGAAGCCTGGAACATCCTGGAGGCCGGGGGCACTGAAGGACGTGCGGGCACACGGTTCCTGCCCAGCTGTGCTGTTCCCGGCTGTGAGCCTCGGCCCAGTCCTCTGTGCCTGTCCTCCCGAGACACTAGCCATCTCAGGCCCATTCCCTACTGTGGAACAGTCTCCACCAGGCCTGCCTTCCCTGAGGACCAGGAGCACCATTCAGCTCGGCTCTGCGTCTCTGGCACCCGGTCAGGGCCCGGGGTGCTCAGGAAATAGTTGCTGGAAAAGTAAATCTGTGAAATGACACCAGAAATACACCCCTCAGAAGGGGGTCTTTAGGACACTCAGTGAGCTACTGTAGGGGAAGACACAGTGTGACCTACGGTAGCCACACAAATGTCAGCTTCATTGTGTTTGGAATCAGAAAATGTGAGCGAGTGCTTTTCCACCTGCTAGCTGGAGCCTCAGTTTCCCCATCTGTAAAAGGGAAGGGTTGGGCTGGGTAGCCTGAGTGGCAGAAGCCTGGCAGAGACTGGTGGCCTCCCTGCGTGGAGGAGAGAGACCTGAGAACTTGGGGAGGCCAAGGATCCGCAGGGCAAAGGTGCGAAGGATGAAGCAGCCGGACAGGCTGCTCGGGGTCTGCAGACGGGGGCCTTCTGGGGAGGCCCTGGGGCCAGGTGGGGAGCAGCCGGTCACAGCATGGGCCACTGTGGAGCTCCTACAGGCCCACCTGCAGCTGCAGGGACCAGGGACCAGCTCTTGGGGGAGACTTTATCTGGGGCCCTGGGAAATGTGGTGGCTTTCATTTATACCCCCCAAGTCTGCCAGTGGTTCTCTGGGGAAGAAGGAAGCCAAGTGGGCAGGAAGAGGAGGTGGAGAGGCCCCGCCCAGCTTAGGAGCTCCCCGTTAGCACGGACTAACCCGTAGGAGGTGACCCTTGCACTTCTGACCTATGCAGCGCACTTGCTTTCACCTCAGCCTGGCAAGAAGCTTCCAGAACGATTCCATCCAGGAGGGGAAGAACGTGAAGACACACTCATCCAACAGCTGGGCAGGGTGGGGAGGGTCTTTGGGGAGGCGATCTGGCCCCATCTATCAAAATGTCAAGTGACTTAAGAATTGCCCTTCCAGAAATTTCCCCCAGAGCCTTGTAAAGCGTCTCCCGCCCACCGTCGTTCCGTTCAGCAGCATGTGCTGCTCAGAACAAGGGAGAACGGACGTGAGTGTCCGTGACTGGGGCACAAGGTGGACTGGATGGGATGGGACAGGGTAAACCTCGAGAAGCCGGAGCGAGTTCTACCTGCGTCGGTAAGGAAAACACACGTGTGTCGTGACAACTGAAGGGAGGGGGCCGTGGGAGCACACGATCCCGAGTGTGCAAAAAAGCAAAATACAACCCCCGGCTCACTGTTGCTGGAGATGTAAAGAGGTGCAGCCACTATGCAAAACAGTGTATGGAGGTTGCTCGAAAAAACGAAGTTGGAATGACCATATGAAGCAGCAAGGCCACTTTGGGGTGTAAACCCAAAAGAACAGAAAGCAAGGCCTCAGAGATTTGTACCCCTGGTTTGCAGCGGCATGTTCTCAAGCGCCAAAAGCTGGAAGCAAGCCAGCGTCCGTGGGGGGGAGTGGCATGTGCATCCGTCCATCCCGCGGAACACAAGTCAGCCGTGACAAGGAAGAAAACTCCGACCCACGCCACGCCGCAGGTGAACCTCGCAGACACGGGCCCACGTCAGACAAGCCGGTCACAGAAGGACGAGTACTGTGTGCACCACCGGCTCACGTTCCCCCCTCCCTGTGTCCTGGGGTCACCTCCCAAATAGGCCACTTGGCCTTGAATGTGCGTGTCTGCTGCTGGGGGAACCAATCACATGAGGATGAGTTTGCGTGTGCTTGCATAGACGGGTTACGTTTTTATATATAAATCCCAGCTGCACCCAAGCTGGGAGCAACTTACCTAACCTCCCTGAGCCTCAATTCCTGCAGCAGTAAGTGGGGCTGGTAGTCGCAGTCGTGGGCTGGGGCGCCACAACGTAGCACCTTTGCTCCCGGCCCTGGAGGCCGGCAGTCCCAGATCTGGGGGCAGCGGGCGGGGGCCTACCCAGGCCTCTGTCCACAGCCTCCCGCCTTCCCTCTGGGCACATTTGCCTCCTAATCTCTTCTTACCAGGACACTGTCAGATCGGAGTGGGGCTCACCTCAGTGACCTATTTAAATTGTAATCATCTCCTGAAATACCCTGTCTCCGCGCACAATCACGTCAGGAGGTGCTGGGCGGTCCAGCCTCAGCACATGAATCTCAGGGGGACAAAATTCAGCGCATCACAGGGACTGAGTTAACAAGGGGTGAGTACCTGGCACATAGCAAGGGCTGTATATGAATACTTTACATAAAAATAAGATTTTCTGGACGAGTCAAAGACACTGCCAACAGTGTTTAACCCGGGGGGGTGTCGGGAGGGGGCTGGGGCTGGGGCATCCTCTGACACCAGATTCTATGCTTTTATTACCTTAATTCTTAAACTAACAACAATGATAAAGTAGTAACCCTGTCAGAGCACCTGCCAGTGCCTGGCACCAGTTGGAGGTGCCTGGAAGGTGGGTCTTCTCCTCCCATCTGCGGGTCAGGCCTGGGTCCCAGGGAGGGAGGAGAGGAGTGCAGACCCCTCCCCAATGTCTGTTCAGCTTTTGTCTCGATTATTACATCTCCTGGAGGATCAGCCTCCTCCTGGTTAAACCCAGGGGCCCCATGAAGGGGCTTGGGCCTCAGGCCAAATTCTCCACCTGACCCACCCTGCCCCTCCCCTCCCAGGCATGTCTTGGGGAGGGGGGCTTCTCCAGGCTCCCTTCTTTCGCTGTCCCAGGGGTCTCAGAGCCCCTCCTCCAGCTGGACAGTCTTGCCCTAGGAACCATTTGTCCATTGCTCAAATGGGGGAAACTGAGGACAGAGGGTCCCCAGAGAGTCCAGATCCCTCTGCAGCTTCACCTACATTATGCTTCAGTGTGAGGTCATTGGAGGTCACCTGTCATCCCTCCCAGTTCTGGAAGAGGCTGCTCTGACCCTGGAGGAAGTGGGGCCCAGCCAGCTCTGGGGTGTCCTCCACTGAGGTCTCCCCAGAAATAAACAGGGGAGGAGCCTGAACTGGGGAGGGGACCTACTTGGCAGGGGTGTCCCATGGAGACACGCTTGGGAAGCTCAGAGGCCTCCCCCACCAGAGGGACAGCTCCACGGCCCCCCTGCAGGGCTTGGGGTCCCATCCCAAGAAGGGTCCTACAGGGCCACGCCTGCGGGGACCCCAGCAGACAGGAATGGGGAGGCCCCAGGACTGGGGGTGCTGCCCTGGGATGGCCTGTGCATTCTGGATACACCGCTGTTTCCAGCCTGCCTGAAGCCGCTTGGTCTGCAGCCTTCTTGTGCCCCATGCGAGGGAAGAACGCTTGTCTCTCTTTTTTCTTCCTTATAAATTTCGTTGAATATTTTTCCTTCAATTGTGATCTTTGGGGCTCACAATTAACTGTGACGTGTAACTCAGAGCACCACTGCCCCTGCCCAGGCTCACTGGGCATCCACTAGGTCTCAGTTTCCCCATCTGAGCAATGGGAGGCTGGACTCTTGCTCACACTCCATGGCAGGCTTGGAGGGGACCCAGCTTCACAACTGGAGGTGAGGAAGACTTGCCCGCCAGGGTTTGGGCGAATGGAGGGGGTGGGCACCCCTGAGGTGCAGAGGCCAGGCCCCGCTGTGAGCGGTCAGTACTCAGTTCATTGTTACCGGAAGCTGGTGTGTGTGTGTCCATGAGCATGTCTGTGCCTGTGCACCCACATATGTCTCTGTGTGCACAGGACTCTGTTCACATGTGCACACGCCCACTAATGTGCATAAACCCATGTGTCTGCAGGGCCACATATAATGGGCCAGGCCCTTATGAATGGGGAAACTGAGGAAGCTTCTTCTGGCAGGAGCTAGAGCGGCCTATCCCGCTCTGGAATCCAAGCCCCGGCCCCAGAGCCTGTTTTGGACAGATGGACACGAAGGTCTGGAAAGACCCAGAAATGGGGAGCCCTGGAATGCAGGAGGGAGGCTGGTGGTCCCCCAGATGTTCCACATGTGCCCACAGGAGAGTCTACCCCCCTTCTGAAGACGCCCGTTGCCTCCGGGTGGGTCTGGACACAACCAGCCTCACTTGCTCAAACCGAGTCTCCAGCTACCACCCGAGGAGGCTCCGCCTGGCTTCCTCCTGCCGGGCCTTTGCTTACGCTGTTCCCTCTGCCCAGACTGTCCTTCCAGTCCCTTGTACTGCCCTCTTTCCCTAGGTGTGATCATCTCCCCAAATACGCCGTGCGCTAGTCACCCACAGCCCCCAGAACGCGCAGCCCCGTGGCAGGTGCCTTTTTGCGGAACAAATGGAATTCAGAATCTGCGCCTAGCTCGGCCTAGGCTCGGATTCGGCGAGGGGACCCCGGGGTCATTCCAGGGCAGTTCTTTCCAGCTCCGTGGGCGGGGCTCTCCCGGGCATCGCAGGGAACCACCTCACCCCGCAGGATCTCCAACTGCCCGACTGGGCTCCCCCCTCCTCCCCGAACCCCTTGCAGTGTGCCTCCCCCCATCCCCCATGGTCTGGAAGAACTTGGCTCCAGCGGATTCATCTGTTCCTTCCACGTCATTGAGACTTTTCTGGCTTCCAGCCTGGCTTTAACAGGGGTGGGGGACTGGTCGCCAGGACCCCGCTGGGGCCCCAACAGCCCTTTGTGGCGCCATCTGCCCTTGTCAATCTCTAGACTCCCGCCTCCAGGGACCACCAATCACAGCGCAGGCATCCCGGTTTCATCACCAGCAGCCAATCAGCGCTTCCGCTCACCGCTCGGGCCCCAAGGTGGGAGCAAATTCGCTCCAGCCCCCTCCCCCACCGGGCCCCACCCCAGGACCTGGCGCTGCCCCCCTCACGTCCGCATCCATCCTCTGTTGCCCTCAGTCACCGTCTGCTTAGTGGACACCCGTGGGCCGCCGCGCTCCACCCGCGAGGCTGTGCCTTGCTGCTCTGAACCTCGGTCTCCTCCTCTATAAGATGGAACAGCGCTACCCCTTGGGAAGTTCTGGCTTAAGTGAGACCCTGCGGTCCCTGCAGGGCTGGCCACGTGGAGGTCTGCCAGGGGCCGAGAACGCGGGGTGGGTTCAGGGCTGGCAACTTCCTCAGGGTCTTGTCTGCCAGACGGAGAAGCGCCCCCCAGCTCCCGGGGCTGAGCCTGGGGGTCTTGCTTTGATGGAGGCACCCATCCTGGCCCCCAAGCTTAGCCCATCCAGCGGACTCCTTCCAGGATCTGCACCCATCTCTGTGCCGGTCCTCAGAGGGCCCCTCGGACCATGCAATCCCAGCCCCTGGGGGACCTGAGCCTACTGTCTGGGGCCTCTTGCAGTGTGTGAGGAGGGCCCCGTAATTCCAAGTTCTGGTCAAGGTGCATCCGTGGAGGCAGGAGGAAGAAGCTGGATCTGTGGGTTCGTATTACCTTGAGCTCTACCTCCTATGCACACAGTCCTGCAGTTCACATGCCCAGCCTAAGTGCATGCCTGTTGCAGGCTCCAAATATTGGAGGCAGGAGGTTGTGGAACCAGATTCAGCCGCCTCCCTACCCGGAAGCTCTATGTACTTGGGACACTGGTGGCCCCGGGCAGGTCTCGGGTCAGGGTCCACCCCTTGCAGGGCCCTCCTCCACGCCTAGGGATGTCCAGGCTGCTCAGAGCACCCACGGGACCCTGGGCCCACCCCAACCCCACCCACTTTCATCCCCAAGATACACACAGACCAGCTCAGGGCTGCACACTCGCATTATTTTATTTTGCTTTTCCAGTCTGAAGCTACTATCATGGGCATTTAGTTATACAAATGACACTTACAAAAAATAAAAGACCAAGACACCCAGAGTGAGATGCATGGCAGAGATGAACTGGTGGGGGAGAGGGGGGCTGGCAGGGGCAGGGCTGGGAGCCAGGGGCCTGGGGGCTCCCCATGGGGCTCCCGGTGGAGGGCGATGCCCAGCTTCATCCCACCCCGAGACCCGAGGAGTCCAGTCGGACAGGGAGCACCGATCACACCGGGGGCTCTGGCTGAGGCGGTGAGGGGCTCAGCACCAACCAGATGGGGACATAGGCCTGGGCAGGCAGGAGGGAGGGGGCCAGCGAGGTCCCCCAAGGAGGTAGGGGCAGGTTCCAGATTCAGGGAAGCACCCTGCACCCCCCACAGCTAGCAGACAAGGAGGGCACCAACGCCCAGAGATGCTGTTTCGAGATTCCCCCACAATACCCCTTGAAGATCACTCGTGGCTACTACCACCAAGCTTGCCTGGGTGCCTGCAGCGATAATGCTCCATTTAAAAAAAAAAAAAAAATACTGATTTGGTCATTTTCTGCTTCCAGTCAGGCCAGGGTGAAAAGAAGAGAGACAGCAGGGCCCCAGCCCAGGGCGGGTGTGCAGTGGGCAGGCCCGCTTGGTGCAGGGGGGCAAGCAGCCGGTACATGCTGGTATTGCCCCCTCCCCCTCTCGCGGCCTTCCCCGACGCAGGGGTGGTGCACCGACCGGGGGGGGCCCCGATAGGCTGGGGGCAGGCACCCAGTTCCGGGGAAGTGGGGGGCAGAGGCTCTCGGGAGGGGGCAGGAGATTCCAGTTACCCCACCAGGCCCAGGGGCTCGGGAAGGCCTCCCAGCCCTCCCCCACCCCCACTCTCTTCGGCCACTTTGGGGAAATAAGGCTCAGAGTCGTCTGAGGTCAGAAGAAAGGGGTGCCAGCCTCGCCCACGGCAGAGAAGAGAGGACAGAAGGATCTGAGATCCCGCCAAGGACCAGGCACGGGGCAAGAGGTGGGGGCACCGTTTTCTCTGGGTTTCCAGTTTGAAAGGCAAGGGGCTCGCCACCACGCTGGAGCCCACCTGGAGAAGAGAGTTATTAGCAGAAGGGTCTGGGCAGGGCGGGGACGGGGCGCTGGCGGCTAGTACTCCCAGAGAGTGGCTGGCTCGATGGTCTCGGCGCAGGCCTTCAGGACGCCTGCGTGGTCCCCCTTCAGGTAGCGCCCGCCCACCTTGATGGCCACCTTGTTGTAGTCACAGAATTCGAAGAAGAAGTCCACGGGGGTGTCACTGCTGCTGGTGACCGAAGAGTCGCTGCCCACTGTCCAGTACTTGCCTGTGGAGTCTGGGGGCGGTGAGACCCATCAGGCCCCAGCCTGCAATCACGGCTTCTGGAGTCGGGGTGGTTTCTGTGGGATGCCCACCCAAGCCTCCCACCCCTGCTGGACGGGGGTCCGCGCCCCTTCCCCCCACCCAGACTTTAAGTCCCACAACTCAGGTGTGGGACACCTTCCCTGCCCACCCTCCCTTTCCAGAATCTGGTCTCCCTCTCTGCTCTGCTCCTCCTTCTATAGCTTGGGGGTCCTCCCTCCTACACAAAGAGGGAAAGGGGCCTGCTGGCCACAGGATGTCTGTCCCCAGAGCCAAGTCACAGGGCGGCCAGGCTGAGCCCCGAAGTAGGACAAGAGCTTCAATCCCTGTGGCCCCCTGGAGCTGCCCCCCTCAGAACCCACCTTTGATGTTGTAGGCACCGTCACTGAACTCCAGCTGGAAGACGTCATAGCTAGAGCGGTTTGCATCCAGGGTGCCCGTGACCTTGCGGCAGCCGATGAAGCCGTGCTCCCCGCGGAACACGATGATGGGACGGTTGATGAGCTTCATGAGGAAGAGCTCCGAGTCCCCTGTCCCAGGAAAGGGGAGGGGCGGTGAGTCTCACAGGGTGGGGCTGGGATGATCAGGGCGTGGCTCAGAGCGAGCGAGCCGGGAGTCTGGGGTCCCCCAGCATGTCATCCCTGGGATGGCAAGGGGGGGATGTCGGTGAGTGACTATGAGGCGGGCAGACCCTCCAGAGAACCCGGCAGTGGGGTGCGCCCACGGGTGGCTACCTGCTGTCTCTACCGAGGCAGCCAACTGCCCGTTCTTCTTGGCCGTCACAAACTTGCCATTGGACGCACGCAGTGTGATCCGCCGATCACGCCACTCGATGTCGAAATAGCAGCTGACGTTCCTGGGGGTGTCAGGAAGGGTCAGGCGGGGCTGCCCCAGGTCCCCAGGCCCCGACCCCCGGGAAAGGCCAGCCTGGGGCGCAGCGGCGGGGCACTCACTTGGTGGAGGCAGTGGACTGCACGCCCCCAGTGGCTGTCAGCGTCCAGTACTTTCCCGTGTGAGTGCGGAAGGCGCACTTTTTGGTGTCGCGGTCGATCTCCAGCTGGAAAGTCTCCTGGTCGGTCTCCTCGTCCTGATTGGCTGACAGGTCCATACCTGCGGGGAGAGCTTCCGACTGGCACAGGGACCCCCACACCCTGAGTTGGGGCCGACCCACAGCCCTGCCCTCACACACCACTGCCAAGACCCCTCAGCCTCCACATCAGGGAGTAGGAGCCCAGACCCCAGGCAGGGCCAGGCAAGGACCAAGGCTGGCTCCGTCCGCCCTCACATCATTTTCTCGGATGCTAGAATACCTCCCAACAAACCATCTGCACAAAGACATTCTAGAACAAATCAGGAGAATCTTAACATGGACCAGGATTAAATATTAAGGATTAATTATTGTTAATCATATTGTAGTTATGTAAGAAAATGGCCTCATTTTTCAGATACCAACAAACATCTCGAGACGAAATGCCTCGATGTCGGGGATTTGCTTGAAACACAATCAAAAACAATGAATATAAGACAGATGGAGCTAGACTGCAGAATATCGCATTTGGGGGAAATCAAGAGATTATATCCATCCTGTTCCTGTATGTGTGTAAAAATTAAGAGTAAAATACAGGGGCGCCTGGGTGGCTCGGTCATTGAGCGTCTGCCTTCGGCTCAGGTCGTGATCCCAGGGTCCAGGGATCGAGCCCCTCATCGGGCTCCCCGCTCAGCGGGAACCTGCTTCTCCGTCTCCCACTCCCCCTGCTTGTGTTCCCTCTCTCGCTGTGTCTCTCTCTATCAAATAAATAAATAAAATCTTAAAAAAAAAAAAAGAGTAAAATATAATAGCATACGTTCATTTCAGAAAATTTACAAAACTCATAAATGCATAAAAATGGAGTCACACGGGGCACCTGGGTGGCTCAATTGGTTAAGCGCCCGACTCTTGATTTCGGCTCAGATCATGATCTGAGTCGTGCGACAGAGCGCCGAGTCTCCGCGCTGAGCTTGGAGCCTGCTTGAGAGTCTCTCTCCCTCTCCCTCTGCCCCTCCCCGCCTGTGCTCTCTGCGGGGGATGGGGGGGCAGGGAGAGTCACACATACCCCCACGCCCACTGCACCCCAGAACACACGGCAAACGGCGGTGAACACACCCTCCTCGCCTTTTCCCCAGTGCAAACACGCATTTTCTCTACCTCAAAGTGCATGCACGCCGCAGATCACGACTTACAGATGATCTAAGCAACATGCTCACACACGTTTCCCTGTCCCTAAATCATCTGATGTGACCAGAGGGGGCTTCCATGCTCCCACACGCTGCTGCCCAGCAGCTGATCTCTGGGGCCCCATCTGCGTTGCCTCTTCCAGCTAACAACCTGGAAGTAGGATATTTGGTTCCAACAGAACAAATTCACATTCCCCAAGTGCCTGGGTTCTAAGAACCGAAACAGCAGGGACACCTGCCCACTCTGCTGGCCGCCCAGACTCGGGGCTTGAAAGTGTGTCACCGTTCGGGTCTGGACACCTTTAGAAGACGGGACCACAGTGGGGGGTGGCAGGTGGCCCTTCCGATGAGCAGATGGAGGCTGGTGGATGGGGGAGCCCTGGTTCCCCACCCGAGACCCACCCATAGTTCTCCACCACCAAGCTGAGGGCCCGATCAGCACCAGGGGGTGGGGACCTTCACCTCCACTTCACGAAGGAGAATGAAGCAGAGGTGGTATGTCCTTCCCAAGGTCACCCAGAGAGAAAGTGATGAGTGCTGGTGAGCCTCAGGAGGGGAAGTGGGCAGACTCAGGCCTCCTCCCATGCTCTCTCTATGGACTGGCGGACCCGGGGCCCTGAACAGCTAGCTCCTCTCAGAACCCCTTGGGCTCAAGCCTCCAGGCCCACTGGGCCCCCTTAGCCCTGATGTCAAGGATCTGCTGACTACTGGGAGGCAGGTAGTGAGTCAGACCCACCATCACACCCCCAGTAAAGATGAGGGTCAACAGAGACTGGGCCCCCGGGTAGCCAAGCCACCAAGAATGGAACCATCATAAAAGGCCACTCTGGGGAGCACAAGCTTTTGAGGCCAGAGTCCCCAAAAGCTGGCAGACATGCCCCACTGTATGAGCTAGCCCACCCCAGCCCCATGGCATCACCTGCCCAATGTGCGGTGTGCTGGCTGACTGGAAGGAGGGCAGAGACAAGAGGAAAGGCCCCTCCGGGCACACTCTGGCAGCAGACAGGACAGAGGGGGATCTCCAGAGAAAGGGGCAAAAGAGCAGGAAAGGAACCTGGATTAGAAGTCCAATCTCTAGCCAGAGGTAAGCACGAAGTCAGGAGGCTCCTTCTCGGAGACTCAGCCAGGAGTAGCCCCATGCTCCCACGGAATCCACACTGACCTGCTCTTCCCACAGGGGAACAGAGGGAGGCCACGCCCAGGGCCCCACAGCCGTGGCCCTCTGCTCGGCTGCTCAGACCCCATCGGCTGCTCGTGTCCAGTCCTGGACATGGTCTGATGAGAAGGCCTGGGCCATCCAGGGAGCCACCCAAAGTGGGGGCCAGGCACCCTCGGCGAGCCTTCCCCTCACTCAGCTCGCATGCCTGTCTATCAAAAGGGTCTCTCCATTCTGCCAGGAGGTTGGAAGGATTCAGGGCCCTGGTGTCAAGCTGACACCAGGTCTTCCGACCCCAACAGGAAGGGGTATGGGGGGGTGTCTCCCCAACATCCAGCAGAGCCCCTCCTGGCTCCAAGGCCCTGCCCAGGCAGGAAAGGCCCCACTTGGCCTTGGAGTCTCTAATTAGAGCTGGGTTACTATGGGAACAGGCTTTTCTTTGGGATTTTTCTTTTCATCAACTGCAGCAGCCGCACTGAGTCACAGGCCCACAGGAACCCCGGGGAGGCAGATGCGGGGCTGGAAGAAGCTCATCTCCTGCCTCCCCCCACCCCCGCTTCCCCCCGCCCTGCCTGTCCCTCTGCCTCATAGCTTTTCCTGTCGCCAGCCTCTGAGCCATTCCCTATGGTGGCTCAGAGAGGGCACTCCATCCCCCTCAGCCTTAGCAGTTTCCAAATTGCCCCGGTTGGTCCAAAAGAGGCACTCCCCAACACCCCATTCAGTTTAGGGGAAGGGGCCTGGAAGCTTCTGTGGCCTCCCCTCCCCTCCGCCCTCTTTCCACTACGTGACCACCTCAGATCCTTCCCCCATCCCTGCACAAGAATTAGGGCGTGAATTACCGCAAATGCCCTGCCTCTTCAGGAGAGCTCTTACACATCCTGCAAAGCCCAGCCTGACCAGCCCTTTTCTCAGCCAGCCGGCCAGCCTGGCCTCTGAGTGCCTCTGAGTGGCTGGAACAGGGCGCTTCCTGAGCATGGAGCCCCAGGGCACAGCTGGCCAGGCACATGGAGGCTGAGAGACCAAGTGGGAAATGCGGACCCAGCATGGCCAGAGTCCAGAACAGGCGAGACTTCCAAGGAGCAAGGCGGGGGAGGGACACACCCCACCTGGCTGGGAAGTGCTGCTCACCCAGCCACC